CAAACCATGAGATCATGACCTGGGCCAAAGTCGGGCTCTCAACCAACTGAGCCACTCAGGTGCCCCATCACTGTTTTTTTTTTTTAATGTTTATTTATTTATTTTGAGGGAGGGAGGGACAGAGAGAGAGAGAGGAAGACAGAGAAGCCCAAGCAGGCTCTGCACAGTCAGCGCAGAGCCTGATTCAGGGTTTGATCTCATGAACTTGAACTCATGACCTGAGCCAAAATCAAGAGTCAGATAGGAAACTTCACCAACTGGGACCACCCAGGCACCCCTGAACTTCAGCACTGTTAACTAGACGCCTGTCTGTTCCCTCTGACTAAATCCCCACCTTTGGTGTACCTTATCAAGGGCTTCTAGGATCAGGATACATTTTGTACTTGACAGTTAAACAACCACAGTGCTAGAGCCAGTCAGTAGGCAAAGCTGGGGTCAAGGACGCTGTCTCAAGATGGAAGAGGTCAGGAGGTGAAACGAGCAACAAGAGGATCAGAATTGTGAAGAAGAACCAAAAGCAAGGGGTCAGAAGGGCCACAAGAGAAGCACAAGACAAAGGAGGAGAGGAGGTATGAGCCTCAAATTTAGCTCCAGCAGACCAAGTCTTGCTGGCCTAGAGTTCCTTAGAGAATGAGAAATGAGCCTCTTGGAGCATACTTCTGCACTTCAAAAACAAAGAACACAACTAAAACTCTTTATTTGGGAAAATTCCAAACACATACAAAAGTAGAGAGACTAGTATAAATGAACCTCCATGTTCCCAGCACTTAACTTCAACAACTTATCAACATTTTCCATTGTTTTTTCATCCCTTTTCAACCTCCCACCACCCCAACTTGGCCAGCTTTTCATTTCCCTGGAATATTTAAGAACTTTTTTTAAATGTTTATTTATTTTTGAGAGCGCCAGTGGGGCAGGTACAAAGAGAGAGAGGGAGACACAGAATCTGAAACAGGCCCCAGGTTCTGAGCTGTCAGCACAGAGCCAGACCTGGGACTAGAACTTATGGGCAAGATCATGACCTGAGCTGAAGTTGGACTCCCAACCAACTGAGCCACCCAGGCCCCCCTAGTTTATTTTTAAAGTTTATTATTTATTTTTGAGAAAGAGATAACATGTGCACACAAGTTGGGGAGGGGTGGAGGGAGAGGGGGAGAAAGAGAATCCCAAGCAGGCTGTGCACCACCAGTGCAGACCCTGACGTGGGGTCAAACTCACAAACCGTGAGATCATGACCTGAGCCGAAATCAGACGCTTAAACAACTGAGCTACCCAAGTGTCTATTCCTAGGGTATTTTAAAGCAAACCTAGACATCCTATTAATTCATTCACACATACTTTTCAATATGTATCACTAACAGATCAGGGCTTTAAAAACACAGTGATATCACTATTTCATTTAGTAAAATTAACAATAACTTCTTAGTATTATATCTAGACTGTGTTGATTTTTCTGCTACTATCTCACAAATACCTTTTTTTTATTTAAAAAAAATTTTTTTAACATTTATTTATTATTGAGAGACAGAGAGAGACAGAGTGTGAGCAGGGGAGGGGTAGAGACAGGGGGAGGCATAGAATCTGAAGTAGGCTCCAGGCTCTGAGCTGTTACCGGGAGCCCCTCACAAATACCTTTTTATAGTGGGTTTGTTCAAATCAGGACCTGTATACATGGGTGTCACACACTCACTGCATTTGGTTGATTAGTTTCTTGTCTCCAAACTCCTTTAGTCTATAATCGTTATTCCTTCGCTTCCTTCCTTCCCCTGTGTCCAGTGTTGACTGATGAGAGTTTTTCACATTCTGCATTTGTTATCATGGTGTCATTTAATTCATCTCTTTATCTACTGTCAAGGTAGTTAGGTCTAGAAAGCTGCTTTCGGACCCAGCTGTTTTGCTGAAAAGGCTTCATAGATGCTGCTGTGTGTGTCCTTCCTGTGGCACGTCACGGGGCACAGGCATGTGCGTCTCCCCTTTAGTGAGGTTGACATTAATCAGCAGGCTCAGGTGGTTGTCAGTCTGACCCATTCACTGAAAGTTCCCCTTCAGTCTTTTAAAAAATTTTTTTCATGTTTATTTATTTTTGAGAGAGAAAGAGAGACAGCATAAGCAGGGGAGAGGCAGAGAGAGAGGGAGACACAGAATTGGAAGCAGACTCCAGGCTCTGAGCTGTCAGCACAGAGCCCGATGCGGGGCTTGAACCCATGAACGGCAAGATCATCAACTGAGCTGAAGTTGGACGGTCAACCAACTGAGCCACCCAGGCACCCTACCTCAGTCTTGAATGTAGGGTTTTAGCAGCCATTAGAATTGCTAGGAAAAGATGCCTCTTCTCTTCTGCTTTTAATAGCTTACTTTTCCAGTGAAGAGTTGTCCCTTCCTCATCAATTATTTGGTCTGAGACACGGTTTGCACAAGTAGGCCACAGCACACTTTAAAAATGACATCGTGGGGCGCCTGGATGGCTCAGTCGGTTAAGCGTCCGACTTTGGCTCAGGTCATGATCTCGCAGTCCGTGAGTTTGAGCCCCGTGTCAGGCTCTGTGCTGATAACTCAGAACCTGGAGCCTGTTTCAGATTCTGTGTCTCCCTCTCTCTCTGACCCTCCCCCATTCATGCTCTGTCTCTCTCTGTCTCAAAAATAAATAAACGTTAAAAAAAAAAAAATGACATCGTGTATCTGACATGCTTCCAGTTGTGTGCTCTTTCTCCTTCCCAGCTTCCCACTGCTAGGAACATGAAGTTCACTCGCAGTATCTTCTATGCTGAAGCAGAGAAACTACTAATGAACTTACTGAGGGTCTGCTCTCATCACTCTATGGTCGGACATAACCAGCCATTCTCCTTCACGAGGTGTTCCATGACTCCCCCACCTGGACAGCATCTGGTCCTCCTCTGAACTCCTCATTCAACAAACATGGCCTCTGACAGATGCTAGTCACTGTATCACTTTTTAAGAAATTTCTCTTTTGGGGCGCCTTGGTGGCTCAGTCAGTGAAGCGCCCAACTCTTGATTTCAGCTCAGGTCATGATCTCATGGTTCGTGAGTTTGAGCCCCATGTTGGGCTCTGCCCTGTCAGTGTGGAGCCTGCTTGGGATTCTTTCTCTCCCCCTCTCTCTCTGCCTCTCTCTGTGCTCTCTCTCAAAATAAATAAACTTAAAAAAATTCTCCATTACCCCTTATGAATAGTTATTTATGTTAGAAGTGGACATCAGGGGGTTGCCTGGGTGGCTCAGTCAGTTAAGTGTCCAACTTCGGCTCAGGTCACGATCTCACGGTTTGTAAGTTCGAGCCCTGCGCTGGGCTTTGTGCTGACAGCTCAGGGTCTAGAACCTGCTTCAGATTCTGTGTCTTCCTCTCTCTGCCCTCCCTCCTTTGCTTATGCTCTCTCTCTCTCAAAAATAAACAAACACTAAATTAAAACAAAAAGAAGTGGGCATCATGTTTGATTTAGCTCTCTGTCTCCAGAGTGACTACAACTTTTATTTAGCCTTTTCTGGGAAGTCAATAATAACTTATTAAATTAAAATGTTAATGAATTACAAGAAACTTTTGAGCCCATTGGACTTTTTCTTCTCTCTTAAAGATGAATGGTTATGCTATGAATTTAGTGCAGAATGCCAATTTTTAATAATTTAGAAATATTATAGACTTCTCTAATTAATCACTATTAAAAAACAAATTACATTAATTAATCACCTTTTCATTATAGTAAAATCCAATTGGATTGTAATTCTGTAACTATCTAGATACCAAGATCACATTTTCACTTTTTTTTTTTTTAAGTTTATGTATTTATTTTTGAGAGAGAGAGTGAGTGTGACCAGGGGAGAGGCAGAGAGACAGAGAGAGAGAGAGAGAGAGAGAGAGAGAGAGTCCCAAGCAGGCTCCATGCTGTCAGTGCAAAGCCTGACTCGGGCCTTGAGCTCACAAATTGTGAGATCGTGACCTGAGCGGAAATCAAGAGTTGGACACTTAACCAACTGAGCCACCCAGGCACCTCACATTTTCACTTTCTTATAACATATTTTTCATGTTTTATCTTTATTTTTTTCTAGCTTTATTGAGATATAACTGACATATAATACTGTGTAAGTTTAAGGTGTACAACATATTCGTTTGATACACTTCTATATTGCAAAATGATTATCGCCACCACATTAGCTAACACCTCCCTTAAGTCACATGATTACTACTTCTTTTCTGTGGTGATGCCTTCATCTTTAGATGGCATCTAAAGTAAACTATAAGAACTATTTCCCAAAGTACTCCTAAATCATAGTTGTTATAAACAGCTATTGATATACTGATATAAAAATGATGGTAGTGGGGTGTCTGGCTGACTCAGTCAGAAAAGCATGTAGCCCTTGATCTCAGGACTGTGAGTTCGAGCCCCACGTTGGGTGTAGAGATTACTAAAATAAATAATGTTTAAAAATATAAATGTGCTTCAATCGCTGTGAAAAATAGCCCATGTTTTTTTATTTCTGCATTTTGAAAAAATAAATCTGATTACTTTAAACAGTATCAGGTAGGACAATATGTAAAATTTCAAAACCTGAAAGTACAAACTTCAATTCTATACTCTTGTGGTCAAATAATACTGCCACAGTGCCAGTGTAAGACCATTTTAATGAACAAAGTTTTTGAAGGTTGATAGTTTTTTTAAGTTTGATTCTAAGAATCCTTTATTTATTTAATTACAAAAAATTTTTTAATGTTTATTTATTTTTGAGAGAGACAGACAGAGCATGAGTGGGGGAGGGGCAGAGAGAGAGGGAGACACAGAATCCGAAGAAGGCTCCAGGCTCGGAGCTGTTAGCACAGAGCCCTATGCAGGGCTTGAACTCATGAACGGTGAGATCACGACCTGAGCTGATGTTGGACACTTAACCAACAAAGCCACTCAGGCGCCCCGAAGGTTGATAGTTTCTTAAACTTGTCCATAAAATGGTGCTATGGATAAAAAGGATAGCAAACCAACAAAAGATCTTTCTTACCAAGCAATCAAGCTCTTCATTCAGACTGTGGTACTTATTCCGTTTGGCTCCCAGTAAGATAGGTACATCTCCAACATTCTTGGTTTCATCTGAATCAAAGCCTGTAACCTGAGATTACATACATTTGTGCTCACTTCCAACACTTCCACATTCCTTGGAAAATTTGACAATAAATACTTTATAAGTTTAACAATCAAAGAGATCTTCAATGGCTAGAATCATAGATGTATAGAACATACAGCTGGGAGGATTTCAACACATTTCCCAGAAGAACATAAATATCTGAAATTGTATTTTGTTAAGGACAGTGCACAGTAAATATTACACTCACCTCAGTAACTCGATCTTGAAATGCTTTTTCATTAGTAATCAACTCTCTAAAAGCTGTGATTCTGTCTTTATGTTTCAGTAGCTAAGAAGAAAAGCATTTTACATTTCAGAAAAGAAGACAAAATAAAACTACATTCTATAACATTTATAATAAAATCATCAAATCATGCACCATCTAATCCCTGGTCTCCAAAGATCTACTGTTTTTACAGCTCATGTACAGAAAAGCGATCACACAGCAGATCTGAGACTGCTCTCCTTAGAAAGGCCTGCTAGTCAGATTGCTGCCTCGGGAACTGGAAACTTGGATTGTAGGAGGATTTCCATTGTTCCATAATATGAACAGCTCATTGTGCCTCATCTATCTGTACAAAGATATAGTGTTTACTGAACACCTCTTTCCTTCTGGAAGGTCTGGAATTTTAGTATGTGCTAGTCAGAGGTGCTTATGTGAGCAGCCCCCAATAAAAATCCTGCGTGCTGGGTCTCTAATGAGCTTCCCTGGTAAAAACTTCACATATATTGTCACAGCTCATTGCTGGGAAAATGAAGTGCATTTTGCGTGACTCCACTAAGAAGGAACTCTTGGCAGCTTGAATCTGTTTTCCTCTAGACTTTGCCCTGAGCACCTTTTCCAGGCGCTGACTTTGCTCTGTATCCCCTCACTGTGAAACAGAGCCTCGAGTATGACTCTATGCAGAGTCCCACGGGTCCTACCAATCAATGAACCTGAAGGTGGGCTTGGGAATCTCTGGGAGCTTATGCCAATATTCAGTTGTTTTTACAACCAGGCTATCAGAATTCTTTAGAGGAAAAAAAGAAACTACCAATTTTTCCTAGGTGTAATTTATAATCATTTCTTATTTGTTAATTTGTTCCTTCAGTATAATAACAATAAATCTTAATCTTCAAAATTCAAACTTCTGTAAAAATCAGTGAGGTAAACTATGAAGCACAGAATTATTATTATGAGCAATTTCCAATATAAATAGAGAAAAAACTTGAACGAACCTTCATTTAATTATCACCCAACTTCGACTATTGACGGTTAGCAGTCAATCTTGTATCATTTATATCCCGAACCATGTCTTCCCCACTCCAATCCTCCCCTTCACTAAGTCAAATCACAGACACCACATCATTTCACCTGCCAATATTTCAGTAAATTTACCAAAAGAACACAAACATCTGACATTGTATTTTTGTAACATCCTGCTCCAACCCTCAATGGGGCCTATTTTTTTTTTACATTTATTTATTTATTTATTTTTGAGAGACAGAGAGAGACAGAGCATAAGTGGGGAAGGGGCAGAGAGAGAGGGAGACACACAATCCGAAGCAGGCTGTAGGCTCTGAGCTGTCAGCACAGAGCCCGACGTGGGGTTCGAGCTCACAAACCGTGAGATCATGACCTGAGCCTAAGTCGGACGCTTACCCAACGGAGCCGCCCAGGTGCCCCATCAATGGGGCCTATTTTTGAAGGGTGGCTTAAAAAATGGAGGATGTATCTGTTTCTCTGCATATCTGTTATTCCTTGATCCTTTTCTCTACAGGTTAACTAGAAGACAAAGAGACTCCCCAGAATACCTGCATAAATTTCTACCCACACTAGTTCAGAGAAGTAATTTCCTGATAATATAGGACTGAGTTTGTTACTACAATCCAAGATCCCATACTTGAGTATATTTTTATTCCGTTAGTTGATAAACTTGTCACTTCTGTTTTCTTCTCATATGAAAACTGGCAGAAGTTAACATCCTGGTATTACCTTCCCCATTTCACTTACTCTCTTAATCTGTCCCTCCATCGCTGTACCACTATACCAAGAAAAGAATAATTGAAGAAATTCCAGGAATCTCTTCCCTTATGCTTGTGCCACTTGAAAAATAAAATGACTGATTTTCAATGTATCCACTATTCCAAGTGATAAAGTTTGAAACCACTATCGGGATATCAAAATACACTGTTCTTCAGGAATCTGTAGTGCTGGGACGCCTGAGTGGCCCAGTCGGTTAAGTATCTGACTTCGGCTCAGGTCACAATCGCGTGGTTTGAGTCTGAGCCTCACATAGGGCTCTGTGCTGACAGCTCAGAGCCTGGAACCTGCTTCGGATTCTGTGTCTCTCTCCCTCTCTCTGCCCCTCCCTGGCTTGTGCTCATTCTCTCTCTGTCTCAAAAATAAACATTAAAAAAAAAAAAGAATCAGTAGTGCCATGCAAAAGTGGAAAAAATAATCATACCTTTTTTTGGTAGATGAATAATATTTTGTAATACAAACTTAAGTTATAAAACAAGCCAAATGTTGAACAATGTATCTCCTTAGTTAGGGCCATAGTAAAACTAATCTGGTCCTCCAAAATGATTCTTTTAAAAAAATCAAAATTTGGAGAGTTTCATGTTACCTTTCTCTTTGACTATTATTTTCACCAAAAATGATACAGGTTTTAGAATAAAGAATAAATACAGTACCTTTTTATCTAAATTTTTCTTTTTAAGATGGAAGTGCTTCAGTTTTTGTAGCATTATATCACTGATTTTCTCACAATCTTTGAAATATTCAGCATCAGTAGTAGTAATGTCCTAAAGGGTAATAGTTTGAGAAGCTATATTAAAAAGTTTTCATTAAAGCTAAAAGAAGGACAGAAAACACACACACACACACACACACACACACACACACACACACACACACAATTCCATAATACCTGATCAAACCAAAAGAGATAAAATAATATTGAACTCAATTACTCATCCATAAGACACCTAATAAAGGGTTATAAGAAAGAATTCTTATAGATTCACACTTGTATGTAAGTGGTTATTGGGACAGATTGGTATAATCTCTGGGAAGTTAATACTCACCTATAATAAGGTGAACATCTCCTGTTAGCCTAGCCCGGTCAGTTTACAAATCCAAATTTCAGCCAAATTGCTATATCTAACAGCAGAGTAATCAGACATCCCCAACAATACTGAAGCTCTAGGTGCCTATAATGAAGGTATTTGTATGTATAACCTCAGGGCCAAAACTGTGTGCATGAGTCAGACTGCCTGAGTTTGTATCTGAGTTCTGTCGCTTAACCCTATGTAAGACTTTGGACAAGACACCCTACAGTTCTCTAAGTCCCAGTTTGTTTTTCCATGTTTTGTTTCCATTTTTTTTTAAGCCTGAGAATATAAAGACTGACATAAGGATTGGATGAGATAACCCATGAAAGGCAGGGTCAGTAAATTTAAATGCCTCCAAGGACAGGTTGGAAAGTCAACAAATATTTGTTGAGTGCTGATTAAGGGCTTCATCAGAATTAGATACGGGGCATACAACATACCACGTTTCTGATGTTGAAGCCTTCTACTCTGGTGGGGGTGGGAGACACAGAATAAGCAAACAGATAATATTTGGTGTGGGATGACATCCACCAACAAGAGGGATGAGGACACACTCTTCATGGGGAGGTGTGGTGGAGAAGCAGCCTCCAATGACATGGTGGAAAGCCAAGCCTTACAGTAAGTAAGCAAATGTTTGAAGGAACAAAGTAGGCTGGAAAAGTTTGCAGCTAAGGACAGTCTGTGCCACATTCAGAGTCACATATATAAAAACAAAACGTTAGGTGGATATAGTCTGCATGCTGCCACTTTGTGATCTCTGCATAAAATGCTCAGCTCAGTGTCTAGCATTAAATAAATGCTAGCATTCAACAAACTTTAGCTAAAACACAATAGAAATAAGGGTTGTGTTGGATCAGGAACATCACAGACCATGCCCCCCAATTTGGGCTCTGATGACTACACCCAAGATCAAAGAAATGGACAATAATGAAGAGGAAGAAAGACAGCTAGCTCATTTGAGAAGCTATCAAATGTCATGCTCTGTACTCTCATCTCTCATTAAATGTAGTGCTTGTAACCTCCCAGGGCAGGGGAAAGTATCATTTCCCCTACTTACAATGCAGAAACTGAGGCTGAGAAAGGCAAAGTCACTTGGGCCAAGTCACAGAGCCAGAAAGTGGTGAAGTCAGAATTTAAACTCACCTACACTAATTTCATTCTTCATTCCACTAATGTATACAACTCCCCACTGCTCTCCCCCTGCCCAAAAGCTAAATTTTAGATTGGGCAAACAGCTCCATGATGGGAACACTCACTAATCACTAGGAACCAACTGAACCAGAGAACAAGACTATCACTCTGATAGAGTTTCCATGACATGTAAGAAGTACCGAATAAAAGGTGTTCTCTGGTGCCTTTATCTTGTATCTGATTATATTATTTTACTTGTGGGAATTAGGTGTTAAAGAAAGATAAAAAGAAGCAGGAGGAGGTCTGAATTTTGTCTTCCATTTTTTTCTCCCATGACTTAACTCCCAACGCTTTATATTGCTTCTTTGGTTTAGTCCAACTTCTATATTTCTTCCTTCCCCAATAAAAAATATGAATTTTTTAAATTACCTGACGTGTGAGAAGTCCTATGACCAGAGCCAGAAGACTGTGAAGTTTGGAGACCAGCTGAGAGGTTCTTTGCACATCTGGGGGATTCAGGCTTTCTTCTTCACAAGGTGAGCAATTCAGGAACAAATTAGAATGTATCATCTTTGCATCCTATGGGTACACAATTCAGAGGTGTTACAATAAAGACAGAGAGTCTGGATTGCTCTTTAAGTAGAATTCTGAATTAAATACCACTCTTTAAAACTTTGAGCAGCCCTAACAACGTGGCACTCAAATTTAAATTTGAAGAGATAGTGGGACACCTGAGTGGCTCAGCTGGTTGAGTGTCTGACCCTTAATTTCGGCTCAGGTCATAATCCCAGGGTTGTGCGATCGAGCCCTGTGTCCGGTTAAGAGTCTTTCTTTCCCTCTGTTCCTCTTCCCCACTTGCTCATGCTCTCTTTCTAAAATTAAAAACAAACGAAATTGGAGATGAATGTTAATATTTAAAAAAAAAAATTATGAGCTGTGGTTCTCAAACTTCTGATTCTCAGGACCCCTTTATAGACTCAAAAATTAATAAGAATCCCAAAAGCCTTTTGTTTATATGGGTTATATCTATCAATATTTTTTGTATTAGAAATTATGACTGAGGGGGTGCCTGGGTGGCTCAGTTGATTAAGCGTCCCACTCCAGACTTTGGCTCAGGTTGGTGGGATCGAGCCCCATGTTGGACTCCACACTGACAGTGCAGAGCCTTCTTGGGATTCTTTCCCTCTCCTTTCTCTCTCTGCCTCTCCCCCACTGGTGCGTGTGTATGCACATGCTTTCTCTCAAAATAATAAACTTAAAAAAAAAAGAAATTATGACTAAGAACATTTAAAAATTATGTTTACTGGGTCACCTGGGTGGTTCAGTTGGTTGAGCATCTGACTTTGGCTCAAGTCATGATCTCACAGTTCATGAGTTTGAGCCCCATGTCAGGCTCTAGGCTGACAGCTCAGAGCCCGGAGCCTGCTTTGGATTCTGTGTCTCCCCTCTCTGCCCCTCCCCCACTCTCTGTGTGCATGTTCTCTCTCTCTCTCTCTCTCTCTCTCTCTCTCTCTCTCTCCTTCTCAAAAATAAACATTAAAAAAATAAAATAAAAATTTTTACTAATCTATTCAAATAACAATAAATCCTTTGTGTCAACATAAATAACAATTTTAATATGAAATTACCACATTTTCCAAAGGAAAAAATTAGTGCAAAGAGTGGCATCTTTTACATTTTTGTAAGTATCTATAATGCTGACTTCATAGAAGACAGCATGATTCTTACATCTGCTTCACACATTGAGCAGCCATAAAAGCAATGATCAACAGTTTCTAGAAAATGCCACTGGGAGCACTTGTGAAAAAAATGAGACTGGCAAGGGCATAACATCTTCCTATTACTATGAAAATACTTTTGATCTCATGGACATTCCCAGACCACACTTTTGAGAAAACAGACCTAGAGTTCATGAAAAGCAAAACTAAAAGCAGAGTAAGGATGACTTAGGGATATTAAAGAAATTGATTAGTCAAGATAAAACAAAGAACTTTCCTTTTTTAAAAAAAATATTTATTTGGGGGAGAGCATGAGCAGAGGAGGGGCAGACAATCTCTGGGCTAACAGGCTGACAGCAGTGAGCTCAATGTGGGGCTGGAACTCACAAACTGCAAGATCATGACCTGAGCCAAAGTCAGACCCTTAACCGAATGAGCCACCCAGGCACCACTACTTTTTTTTTTTTTAAAGAAAATTCAAGAAAAAAAATATATACTGTGATAAACCTCTGTACAGTTGTACTAACTTATTCAGAGTTTACCAATTCAAAATTTGTCATGATTTGGTTAGCAGCTAAACTTAAGGTCATCTCTGCTTAGGCTAGTGGTTCTCAAAGTGTGACCCTGGGATCAGCAGCATGGGTGAGACTTGGGATCTTCTTAGAAATGCACATTCTCAGCACCACCCTCCTCCCTGCACACCTACTGAATCAGAAATGCTGAGGTGGGCCCCAGCAATCTGCATTTTCACACCTAATGCTGATGAATGCTAAAGCTTGAGAACCACTAGCATAGAAAATCCTAACTTCTTTCTGGAGAAAAGAGCACAGAGAGAATTTTTTAAGTATAAGACAATATTTTCCTAAGAATCATTAAAAAAATTAGCCTTCTTCTAAAAAAGTTTTTAATGTTTATTTTTGAGAGAGAGAGAGAGAACAGAAGCAGGGGAGGGGCAGAGGGAGACAGAGAATCCAAAGCAGGCTCCAGGCTCCAAGCTGTCAGCACAGAACCTGATGCAGGGCTCAAACCCATGAACTGTGAGATCATGACCTGAGCTGAAGTCACACGCTTAACCAACTGAACCACCCAGGTGCCCCCAGATTAGCCTTCTTTCTAAATAGTCAGAATTAATAAGGCTGTACTATAAATAATATTTTTAAGTTTATTAATTTTGAGAGAGAGAGAATGCACATGGGAGGGGCAGAGAGAGAGAGAATCCCAAGCAGGTTCCATGCTGTCAGTGTAGAGCCCAACTTGGGGCTTTATCTTGCCAACCGTGAGATCCTACCTGAGCCAAAATCAAGAGTTGGATGTTTAACCAACTAAGCCATGCAGGTGCCCCTATACTATAAACATCTCAAGACAAGCCTTCAAAACTGAAATAGATGTGCTCTGGCTTATGAAAATGATCACTTCCAGGACATGCTTCCAGGTTCTTGTCTACCAAGTCATTTGAACTGCATAGAATACAAAATTACAGCCTCTCCAAATGTACTGTTATGAGGCTTTCATGTTATTTTTAACAGATGTTAACTAGATTTACTGTGGTGATCTCTTTGCAACACGTACAAATAACGAATTATGTTGTAAACTGGAAACTGATGTTATGGGTCAATTACACCTCAATCAAAAAGTGTATACTTTCATAAAATTAATATGTGATATAATATAGTTTTGTTTTACTTTGTAAACCAAATACGTAATTGCGTTATTTAGTTTTATCATTGAATAGGCAGAAGTGACATGAAAACATAGAGATCCCCACGTAGAAAACCCTTTCTCAAAGGATACATCAGATGATTGGTCATAGGTACCCAGAAAATTCCCATGTTAATTTTCATCTCTACCAAAATAGTCACAAGATGCCAGAAATAGCCTCTTTAGGTGAGTATCCAAGAAGTAGCTGTCTTTAATGTGAGTACCCAAGAACCGGAGAAGCTTCTCCAAATCTGTGGTACCTTTTCCACTCTCCCTTTTTTTGTCGTTGTTAATAATTCTTTCTGCTGACAAAGTGTTGCTTCTAAATATGCATGAGCAGACTGTTAGAAACTCCTGAAATTCTGCGTTAGAGATTCTGAATTTGTGACAATACCTTTGTGATATCTGCCTCCACTGCCTCCCCAGAGCCCTCCTTTAAATGAGCCGTCTCAAACCGAGGGGCATAATTTTGCTCCTCGCTCCCTGCAATCTGCTGCTGTAGCCTCACATTTTCTTGTTTTACTGAACTGACCTGCTGCTTCAGTTTGGCATTCTTCCCCTTCTCGTTCTCAGGTATGAACTGTAAAGTATTAAATTGAGTGAGCAGTTTCTCCAGTCTTGATTTCAGTTTCTGTCGTTCTTCCAGGTTCTTCTCTTCATGTTTCTGAAATTCCTCCCGTAAAGACAGGAACTCGTGCTCTCGGGTCTTCTTTTCCCTTTTCAACAAGTCCAAAGCAGAAGTGGTGGCCTTTTCCAATTCTCCTTTGAGCTGCTTCAGCCTCTCTACCTCTTCTTCTTTCTTACTTAAGGTTCTGTTCATCTCCATGCACTGACTTACAGTTTTATCTTTCTGTTGCATTTCAGTCATGTGCCTTTCCTGTAGGTGAACATAATTGTCCTTGACCTTCTTAAGCTCGAGCTGTAAGGTTTCCTTTTCATTCCTAGATTCCTGGAGATGTTTTTGGGTGTTAGTCAAAACCTCGTGCAAGTTCTGCAGTGTCTTCTCGGTATCATTCTTCTCTAGGATCACTCTGTATTTGTCTTCAATTAGTTCTTCCATCTTTTCCTTTAGCTTATTTATGTCAACGAACACCTGCTGCTTGGTAGTCTGCCTCTGGAGCTCTTCGACCTTCTTCTCTAAATACTTGTTACTACACTGCAGGTCTTGGATCAGAGTTTGCTGCCTTTTGTTAGTATGTTTTAATTTCCGTAAGACTTCATTTAAAGCCATGTCCTCTTCCAGAGGTTGTAAGCTCTCCAAACTCTGCTCCATGTCAGGTGCCTTGCTGTCCTCCTGAGATGCTCCACTACTCCAAGAAATGACTGCAGGACACCAATATGAGACAGTCCCTGGTCTGTCCATGTCCTCCACTGTGACTTCCTTTTGGTGACTGACTGACATCTCAGGAATATCCCCGAAACTCTGGATTCCTTTCGAAGACACTGAAATCTTATAGTAAATAAAATAAGTGAAAAAGAGTATAAAGATCATACATTTTGAAATCAGAGCTGGCCTTAAGTCCTAGGTCCCTAGTTTGGTTTTCTCAGCTCTAACAATGATAATATCCACTTCCAATAATACCTATTTAACAAACATACTTAGGTATTAACTGCTAAGTATATATATAGCACCGATAGCAGAGCACAAAGAGTAGGTATATGATAGGTATCATATTTACTTTTACAAAAGAAAAACTCAGCTTTGATACTCTGACCACTTTCTATGGTGCGAAATTTTCTGAACACATGTACTTTCTTTGACTTCAAATGAATTAAAACAAATTTATCAATTACCCTACAGTCTGTGAGGCCTCTTCTGAATGAAGACTACCTCTTTCTTTTAATGTTTATTTATTTATTTGGGGTGCCTGGGTGGCTCAGTCGGTTAAATGTCTGGCTTCAGCTCAGGTCATGATCTCACAGTTTGTGAGTTCAAGCCCCACATCGGGCTCTGTGCTGACAGTTCAGAGCCTAGAGCCTGCTGTGGATTCTGTATCTCCCTTTCTCTGTCTGCTCCTTGCCTACTCACACTTTGTCTCTCTCAAAAATAAACATTAAAAAATAAAAAATAAAAAATGCTGTTATTTATTTTTGAGACAGGGAACAGACACATGAGGGAGGGGGAGCAGAGAGGGAAAGAGAAAATCCTAAGCAGGCATGAGGCTCAGTGCAGAGCTCAATGCAGGGCTCGATCCCACAACCGTAAGATCATGACCTGAGCTGAAATCAAGACCTGGGTGCTTAACCGACTAAGCCACCCAGGCTCCCCTGAATGAAAACTACTTTTATTGCCTGCTAAACCATTATCTCATTGCTATGACTCCTGTGAATGTAAGAATGTCAGACGAACATGTTTTGCCATTGACTTTCTGCCCACAACACAGGTTTTAGGGGCTTTTTCAAAGGACAATAAGTTGTAGTAAGAAAATACTGAAATGAATATGACATTAAAAATCCTGTAAAAGATATTTGCAAGGGTGGGCAATATAACTTCCTAGAACTTAGAGATATTAGACCCCTGTATTTTTTTTTTTTAATGTTTATTCATTTTTGAGAGAGAGAGTGTGTGAGCCCGGGAGGGGCAGAGAGAGAGGGAGACAACAGAATTTGAAGCAGGCTCTAGTTCTGAGCTGTCAGCACTGAGCCCTATGCAGGGCTTGAACTCATGAACCTGCCAGATAATGACCTGAGCTGAAGTCGGAAGCTTAACTGACTGAGCCACTCAGGTGTCACTGGACCTCTCTTTTAATGGTTTACTATCATTCTGGGATAAAAACAACTATCCCTACAGAGGCCTACAGGTTCTACTATCTGGTCTTGCTGCCTAAGGCTACCTTTCATCCTCATCTACTACATGCCTCCTTCAATCCAGGCTTCTGTCAGGTACTAGTGGGTGCCATGTTCCCTGAAGCCACAGGGTTTTCCACATGTTACTTCTGCATGGAATGCTCTCCCACCCACAGTTCCTTAACTCCTAATTTATCCTTCAGAGCTCAGCTCAATGACCACTACTTCCGGAAGCCTCCCCCAAACTCGCTGACTAGGACAGTAAGACTCCTGTCATTTTATTCACAGTTCTTACCATCCTTGCAGCTTACAGTTTATATGTAATACTATAGCACGTTATCTACACTTTACATACACTTTATATGTAACCACTCAGAGCCTTATCATAGTTGAAAGTTTACATTTATTTGTGTGATTCTTTAATGTGAGTCTCCTCTACTAAGGTGTTACTTTCATGAGGACAAAAACCACATTCTTTAAAACCATTATATAATCAACACATAGCATAGAGCCTAGCACAGAATAGGTTCCAGAAAGTATTTATTGACTGAAAAAATGACTAAATGCAGTGGAAATAGGAAGGAGCAATCTTGAGAAATGCTAATTAATCAGATTTTTTAAATGCCATTTTCCAGAATCAATACAGGGAAATAAAGTTCTCTTTTAAATAATGCTTCCAAATAAATGAACAAAAAAACTGCTCATACTTGGAAATGAAAAATAGTCATAGCTTTTCTCATCAGACTTAAAATAAAAAGGTATTATTTTTACTATTCTTGGATTATATTTGCCCATACCAAGTCTTAAAACTATTACTTTTAAAAAATTTTCAGAGAGCACATAGAATTTATACTAGTGGCATCTTCAGTGTTCTTAGGATACTACATGTATGCCCAGAATCAATAAGTCAAAAGACAAATTAGTATTTTCACTTTGGTAGAAAAACTAACATTTTATACTTGTTAACTGAAATCCCTCATGATAGAAAAATTTTAAGATTTTCCTGTCAAATAACTTAATACCTCCATCCTTCTTCCTCTTCTCAATCTTTTCCTTACTGTAAACTCTTGAGTTCCAGCCAATTTGATTCACAAATATAAAAGCCAAGGCACCATGTAGATGCTAAGACACATAAAAGGATGAGTAAGACAGAGCCTTGGTTCTCAAAGACATGACCATTCAGTAGGGCTAATCTCCATGTATGGACATGATTTTAATAGAAAAATCTGTTTCTAAATTGATGAAGATCTCAGAAGGTATTTTCCCCAGAGAAGCAATGTCCCTCTTGCTGATTATTAGATTATTTAGTGGTACTTGGAAAAGTCTAAAATTATATACATAGTTTTGGGGTTTTTTTTTGAAAGCACATATTTTAATACTCCACAAGCTATATTGCCCACCCCAAAATTTACCTTCTCTGTTGCATAATTAGCTTTCAGATCAAGCTGGTTAAAGCCGTTCTCTTTGTAAAACGGTTTGTCAACATCACTGGGTACATTTTCCTCATACCAGAAGCTCTGAGGTTGACTAGGTTCGAGGGCAGATTCCGTGGCAGCACTTTTAGCCAGTGACATTTCCATGAATTTCACTGTCTCTCCACTGCCGTGGACTACAGGTGGACTTCTAGAAGGTTGTATGACACATTTATGAGCAAATTGCTCTTCATTTGTAGAAGTGCTAGTTCCCAGTGAATTTTCTTCCTTAAATGAATCTTCCTTTATATTAGTGTCTTTTGCACAATAATACACATGAATTTGCATTTCGGGTTGTATTGTATAAGGTAAGCCTTCTTTCAGATTTTGAAATGTTATCATTTCATTACTAAATGCTTCTGTGTGATGAAATTTGCAAATGGGTTCAAATTGTCTGAAGGAAGAAATGCTGGGGTCAACTAGTTGAGGTAGTACATTCTGTGAGTCATTTCCAATGTTGAAATCTCATTAGAAAGAGAAAGATGGAAATAAGAATTAGCTGTCCATACATTTATATGCTAACAGTTATATTTACATTTATGAAATAAACTGTTGGGAGTCTTTTTAAAATTATATTTATGTCAACATTTTTTTATTGAGTGTATTTCAGCATGGCTTTGTGCTAGCAAACAAAATAAACTACATTTTACATGGAGACCAGAAGTTCTCAAATGACTGCTACCAAAAAAGTTTGTACGTCATTCTGGTCAAGTGCCATTACAACAAATTCCAAGATATCTTCAAAATTCTTTTGTTGTACTGTAATTCTAAAATGTTTTGATTATGTGTCCAAAGAATACAAAAGCACAATGAACAGTATAATAACAAACACACATAAACTTGGTTAATCTCACAGCAATCCCCTGAGCCAGGCACTGTTATTATCCCTGTTTTACAGATAACGAAACTGAGACATAAGAGATGTTAAGTCACTTACTTGCCTAATGTCACAGGTTGGGTAGGCAGTGCACCTGGGATTCTAGAACACTATTTCTAAATGCTGTGTTTGTCAACATGACAAGTTATCCAGACTTAAGACATTTAAAAAAAATTTTTTAACGTTTATTATTGAGAGACAGAGAGAGAGCATGAGTAGGGAAGACAGAGGAGGAGACACAGAATCCGAAGCAGGCTCCAGACTCCGAGCTGTCAGCACAGAGCCCAGTGAAGGGCATGAACTCTCAAACTGCGAGATCATGACCTGAGCTGAAGTCGGATGCTTAACTGACTGAGCCACCCAGGTGCCCCAAGAAATTTTTAAAAATCAGAAGTAGAGATGCCTGGGTGGTTCAGTTGGTTAAACGTCCAGCTCTTAGTTTGGGCTCAGGTCATTATCTTAGGGTTTGAGCCCAAGTTGAGCTCTGGGCTGACATTGTGGAACCTGCTTGGGATTCTCTCTCTCCCTCTCTCTCTCTGCCCCTCCCCCACTCATGCTCAGCATTCCCTCACTCTTTCTCCCCCTCCCTCAAAATAAGTAAACATTTTAAAAATTAAAAAGATAAAAATCAGGAGCAAATAGGCAATAAAATGTTACAAAACTAATTAATGATGCCTCCTTCTATCTAAATTCCCTCCTTTCCCCCTCTTGAGAGATAACTACGAAAGCTGGTAGGTATTTATTCTTTCCACCCATATTTTTCTGCTTTCATTACTCAATTATGTACCTTAAATAATATATATCAACTTCCAAGAATTGGAAAGAAATACCTAACAGTTCCATTTATTAAGTAGTGAAGCTCAACTTCAGTATTTGTCTCAACAACTTAGATGTTTGAAAATTACACACAAACTGAAAGAAAAATATAATGCTTTACTTTATTCTCATACAATTGAACTTACTACTTGGATGCACTACTGGGTATCACATGTCTCAAATCTTGGAATCAGATAGGACAATGACAACCATCACTTTCTATTCTACATTGATTTTTGTACAATACTTGCTTTTTATCACAGCAACCTTCAAAGACACAGCTTTGCAAATAATACTTTATAGAAAGGGTTAAAGTATGGTTTTACACTGAAATAGTAAACTATCTTAAGCTGGTAGTTTGTGGAGTCCAACAGATGTCCAGTGTCACAGCTTCCTAAATATTTCAAAATGTCATGCAGCACCCTGAGTGATATGCAGTACAGTGCTATTTTCCGTGCTTTAAAATTGTATGTAAATAGACTCAAATTACACTTGTAACATATATATTAGACATAAAACGTATATATATATATCCATACAAAAGTCTTTATTTCACTTAAAATTTTGCTTTTCAGACTTAGCCATGTAAATATCTGTGATTTGGTTCATTTTACTGAAGGACTACACTTTAATCCCTTTTTGTTAGATATGTTTCTAATTTTGCTGTTAAAAACAACCTTCAGTAAACATCCTTATACATGTTTCCTTGTACACTAAGAATTTTTGTCTAGGTTCTGGATATACATACCTCAAAGTAGAATCACTGGATTATAGAAAATGTTACCTTCAACTTCACTAGACATTGCAAAATTACCCTCCAAAGTAGCTGTACCAATTTATACTTCCAACAAGAGCACAGAAGTTTATTTGCTCTACTATGTCCCTCCAATGCATATTAAACTGGTATGCATTAAATGGTATTTTGTGGTCATTTGAATAGTCTTGCAGGTTTCCTTTTCTGTGATCTGCCTGTTAGATACTGTTATGGCCTCAATTTAATCTCCCCAAAAATCACATGCTGAAGGCTTAACCCCCAGCATCTTACAGTGTGACTGTATTTGGAGATAGGACCTATAAAGAGGTAATTAAGGTTAAATGAGGTCATAAAAGTGGGGCCCTAATACAATATGACTGGTGTTCTTATAAGGAAGAAAGGACATCTGGGAGGCCTCAGGATAAACCAACTCTTCTGACACCTTGATCTTGGACTTCCAGACTCCAGAACTGTGAGAAAATAAATTTCCGTAGTTGAAGTCACCCGATCTGTGGAGTTTTGTTATGGCAGCTCCAGCAAGCTAATACGTACACTTGGCCTGTTTGTCTATCAAGCTCTAGGGGTCTTTTTCTTATCGGAGTTCTTTATTTTGGATACTAATCTTGTCAATGTATACATTGCATGTGTTTTTAGTCTGTATCTTGTTTTTTTTTTTTTTATTTTGTTGGTTATAATTTGGTCATATAGAAATTATTTTTTATTTTAAGATAGCAAATGTGTGGCTAATGGTTTGTACTTCTCATGTTACTCTCTGGGCCTCATGCTTCTCATCTGGGTAGATACAAACAACCCTTATTCAAAAAGAAAAAAAAAAACCTATTTCATAGGATTGTTTGTGGAGTGTGATCATGCATATAAAGTGTATATTAGCACATGGTTATTATTATTATTGCTGTTATCACAGGACACGTACACACACAAATCTTGTTTCTCTGTGTATTGCCAACAAAGAGATACTCACCACCTAACCGGTCATCTAGTGTGCTATAAATTTCTTCAGCAAGTGTGAGTTTAGACTCATCTTCCCTTTTTACATTCTTTATTTCATTCTGTATTAATAATAAAAAAGGCATTAGTGTTAATACTTTAAACAAACATCAGAAGCTTCTTCTAAATGTGTATGTACATTGCTATGTAACTTTTCTCTTAGTATTTTTTGTTGCATGGGTAGAATGTACTTTCCAGTATCCTTCCCTACTGTATATCTGAGCTCCTTTACTAAAAAGTAAAACCATGCTAAGGGAGTCACGATATTAAATGACGTTAAGCAAGTATCTTGCTATTTTAATATTTTAGTTTTTTTGTAAGTCAAATCGTGGTACTACAAACATGAGTATATAATAATGTATAAATCTCTGATAATCCTTTGGAGTCTGTTAAATCTGGTCTAAAGATCTATTAGGGTAGTTGTCATTCAAGTCTTTTAACAGTGAAGATACAGGGTGGGTTCCAGTAATGAGGTGAAATCTGATTTCCAATAGATAAAAATCTATAAAAATTCATGTAAGACTTATTCTCAAAGTTATCTCAATGTTATCTAAGGGAAAGGTTTTGTTAAGTAATATTTTAAATGTTTGAGGAAAACATTGGTTTCATTATGAACAGTGTACCAGGCATGTAAGACAAATGATGCTCTAAAAAATTTGTATCTCCTACTAAAGTCAACTGGTTACAAGCTTCTATTCAATCATGCTTTTTATAACATTGTTCCACTTATTGAAGGTACCTAAAGAGTATGATAACTGAGTTATATCTTATAAACATTTTTTTAGACTTCTTGCTAATTTAGACCATTCCTGCTAATTAGATTTTAAACATATCAAGAAGAATATCCTTTATTTATTTATTTATTTATTTATTTATTTATTTATTTATTAAATGGTTTTACTTATTTTTGAGACAGAGAGATACAGAGCATGAGTGGGGAAGGGGCAGAGAGAGAGGGAGACACAGAATCCGAAGCAGGCTCCAGGTTCCAAGCTGTCAACACAGAGCCCGACGCAGGGCTTGAACTCACAGACTGTGAGATCGTGACCTGAGCTGAAGTCGGACGCTCAACCGACTGAGCCACCCAGGCGCCCCAAGAAGAATATCCTTTAAAAAAAATAGTACTATTCACATGTATTGATGTTATATTTACATAAACTTCTTGGAACTCCACTACTCGTTGAATTTCAGAGATTACCTCTAACTCTAGCATTCTATGATAATACTGTCTTTAAAATATGCTTGTTGTTCCTTTGGTTTATAAATTCTTTATAAAGAATAAAATACTCCATGAGTTCCAAGACAGAGAACCTCTTACATAATTTAGGAGATTCATTCTTTACAATTTGATATATATAATATGTTAGACTTTGACTAACACTGTAATACTATGATGAAATTTTCTTTTAAAATGAAATATGAAAGGGGCCACCTGGGTGGTTCAGTTGGTTAAGCCTCTAACTTTGGCTTAGGTCATGATCTGGCAGTTTGTGAGTTGGAGCCTGCATCAGTGCTGAGCCTGCTAGGGATTCTCTCTCTCTCTCTCTCTCCCCCTCTTTCTCTCTGCTCCTCCCCCACTTGCATGCACATGCACACACATGCACTCTCAAAGTAAATAAACTTAAAAAAATAAATGAAAATATGATAAAAGTTATCATTATGAAAATAATCTTGAACATTTTAAAAAAGAGAGAAAGTAAAAAACACTCAAAAGCCCACTACCCAGTGAGAAGCAATGTAATCATTTTTCTATGTCACCGAATATACAGTTGACCCCTCAACAACATGGGTTTGAACTTCCCGGGTCCACTTACACAGATTTTCTTATAAATACAGTATAGTACTATAAATGTATTTTATTCTCCTAATGATTTTCTAAATCACATTTCTTTCCAGTATATAATAAAGATAATACACAAAATATGTGTTAATTGACTGTTTGTTATTGGTAAGGCTTCTAGTCGTAGTAGGCAATTAGTTAACTTTTGGGGGAGTCACAAGTCATATGAAGTTTTTCAACTATGAGGGGAGTCAGTACTCCTAAGTGCTGCATTGTTCAGGGGTCAACTGTGTGTCTGTATTATCATATTTAAGGTTTACGTATCTACTGTACATCTGTGCAATCATCTAACTAGGTTCCTATTGGTAAAAATTTGGTTGCTTCTAGTGTTTAAATAATGCCTTTCATGAAAGTTTACTTGTTTATTTATAATCTCTACACCCAGTGTGGTGCTTGAACTTACAACCCAGAGATCAAGAGTCACATGCTCCTCAAACTGAACCAGTCAGGCACCCCTGATGTTTATTTATTATAGGTAATCCTGCACATAGCTCATTTGCATACTTCCTTGAGATAGAATTAAAAATAAAATGCAATTTCCTCTCACTAAATAGCCCTTTATTTTTTTTTAAAGATGTGTTTCTTCAGTTTGTTTTGCTTTTATTTATTTTGAGAGAGAGAGAGAGAGAGAGAGAGAGAGAGACAGAGACAGAGACAGAGACAGAGAGCGCCTGTGCATGCACATGTCTGCAGGGAAGGGGCACAGAGAGAGGGAGAGAGAGAATCCCAAGCAGTCTCTGCAATCCCACAAACCAGGAGATCATGACCTGAGCTGAAATCAAAAGTCAGACGCTTAACCAACTGAGCCACCCAGGCACCCCACTAAATAGCCCTTTAGATAGTTTATGCCAATTTATGGGTTAGCCCACATGAAATTGTCAATATTTGTCCATTTTCAAACTATAAAAAGGCAATTACATATGGCACAAAATAATTCATTCCTATTATTTCCCTACACTCCTGCTAGTAATTGTTAAACATTCATCACAATTTGGGACAGTATAATTTTTTTTTAGTTTATGAGAAAGGACACTTGTAATTGTTATTAAGATAAAGTCATTTACATGCAGGGCTCTGTCAATACCATGATGAATGACATCTAAATCATTTGCATGCTGACATATTAGAACATGCTCAAGACCAGATGTCTGGCCCGTTGGGCTCTTTTCCTGCCTCTGTGACCCAGTTGTTGTGGCCATGTCCCCCTGGCTGCATGCTTAGGACTTTGTGTGGAGGCTAGAAAGGATCAGGTTTAATGCTCTATTTGTAACGTTATACCTTTGGGAAAACTAAACCGTGTATTCCCCTCCTTTGAGCCTCCACTGGAGATTCTTTTACGGTTTTTCGTATTTTTGAGGACATTTTCAGAGGAAGACAACGTGAAAGCCGAATACATCTATACCTCCTAGAACTTACAAGTAATGCACACCTGAGGCAAGTCTGAATTGGTACTGCTGGTGTCCATATAGAAGGGAGAATCTGAGCGAGTTAAGTCTTGACAAAGACTGCTGACATTCCTGGCATCCGCTTCCAAGTTGCTTTCTAATTTTTCATGAGAAGCATCCACTTCAAAATGCACAGGATCTGAAGGTGATGAGCAAACTTTTTGATAATCCTTGTTCCTAACTGGTGAATGATGAAAGTCTTCTTTAAAAAAAAAACATAATTTTAATGTTTATTAGTATATGTGAACAGAGAGCTTTGTCCCCCACGCCTTCTCATATTAGAAAGCAGCAAAGTTCAGTGTCCTAAATTTTAAAATGTCATTGGTCAAGTTATTAGAAAAAAAATTTTTTTAGTCTGAGTATACCATGGTCACTTTGTATAGTGCAAATACTGATTTGGACAAAAACAAGTCGATATGTGTGGCTACTATCCAATAATTCCCTAGAAGACTTGGGACTCAAAGTGAAGGGAACTCTCAGTTACTTAATCAAAAGATATTTACAAAATATTATCAGAGAACTATTAGGTTCCACAAAATACTGTTTTTCTATTTACTTGGTACTTTCTATTATCTCATTATCAAGTCAAATCCAACAATGTAAATCCGTTTCCCCCACTTTCCTATGCCACACCCATTCTCTTAGGCAACTGGGTTTGAAAACTTGGAGATGCCTTTGGTATCCTTCCAGCTCATCATTATGAGCCATCCAATTACCAAGTCCCGTCCATTTCTCTTTTAAAAATGTTTTTCGTAACCCATGCTTTCTTTCTACTACTCGCGCCATCACACAGGCCCATACTCTCATGACTTCCTCAGGTCGGGGATGGTAGTGGACAGGATGTCCAATCACCTGGAGTCCAAGTTCTTCTGCTGGACTTTCTAGGACTCCCATAGCCTGGACCCACATTACCTATCCAATACTCGCCTGCTCTAGTCAGATCATACTCCTTACTATTTCAGTCTGACCTGGCAAATGCTTCTCTCTCCTAAAGCCTTCCTATATACCCATTCATCTATCTAAAAAATTCCTGCAACATGGGAAATCTCTACAATTCAGCACCTATTTGTTTTACCGTTTTAGCTTTTACCACCCTTTCAAGGGTGTTAGTATTTACAGATTATAAATGCCTCCAGAAGAGTCCATTCATGATTTTCCAGTAATCACCGCAGCAAACAGCAATGTTGTTCACAGAGTAAATACTGATCAAATGAATCCTGCAGTCCAAAGATTTTATTTCTATTAAAACTTCTCAATTTACAGTTGCTACCTATTTGCCCGGATTATTTTATTGAATTATCGAATTAATGAACAATTTATTGAGGCTTGATTTGTTTTCCCAAAGCCATGCCATCGTCTGAAATATAAAAAGCCAGTAAGACAAGCAGGCTAGTCGGGCTTAGCGAAAGGCCTAACTTTATGCTCACCTTTTCCACCTTCCGAACACATAAATGCTGCCTAGGCTGTGGTGAAAGGAATCTGAAAAATCTTCGTTTTCCAAACGCAAAAAAACTCAAGGTCCTTATTTCTTCAATTTCTTTGTTGGTGAACCTAGAACTTCCATTTACACTTTTATAAATTTGTTCACATGGCGCAATCTGTCAACTTACTTTAAAGTTAGGTTTACTTTTTCCATCTTTCATCCTGTCCTTACCAGGTCTTTGCCAACATTTTTAAAGTATTTATTCAGATGTTTGGGTAGATATTCCAAGAACATTATAAAGCTGTTTTAAGATGGGCGCTAAAAGGGTCGTCATTTGAAGTTACCACCAACATTCTAGTTTTAAAATTCTCTCAGTTGTATGACAAACATTTTAAAAATCACTCCTCTCATTTTCCCTCAAAACAATGCACCAAACTTTTCAAGTCTAAAAAGTGTGCTCACTTTCAGGGTCCATAGCTTCTTGGATCCGCTGTAAGGATTTAGCGCTTCCACCTTCCGCACAGGGTTTCGCGGGAGAAAGAAAAACGCTTTACGACCTCATCCACTGAAGGCTTTGAAAAACTCGCAGTTGGCACACGGGCGCGCTGGAACGGCCCTGTGTGACGCCCGCCCACCGCCCTAGCCAGTCTCGGCTCGCTACGACGCCAGGCGGGCTCCCACGCCCTGCGCCACGCCCCACGCCCCAGGGGCGCGGCCGGGGGAAGGGCGGGACTTCCGTCAGGATTGAGACTTCCGGTCGGGCGGGAGTTCCGGTCAGGGCGGTCCTAGCTGTCCTGGTTGTAGGTCCTTATCTCTCTTAGCACGTGGCGTTCGCTTTTGGCGTTGGAGCTTCTGAGCAGTTTGATAGGCGGGCATCTGCCCAGAGAGGGTTGGATGGGCTGCGTGTAGCGCTGTCTCTGTGCGGTTTCCGTCCCAGCGCGGGGCGGACGGCCTCCAGGGGCGCCGAGGCTGTGCACGCTTCCGTCATGGACTACCGGCGGCTGCTGATGAGTCGGGTGGTTCCCGGGCAGTTCGACGACGCGGATTCCTCGGACAGGTGGGCGAGCCCCTTTGGGCACACAGACTCCGTGAGGATTCTGCCTGTCTCCGCCGCCGCGGGCAGCCTCGGGCTTTTGAGGGAGACAGGTATTTCATTCGGAGTAGTCTCTCCACAGCCCTTTGCTTCTTTCTCCATGCCAGCCGGGTCTTTTAATCCCACTTTGCGCCAGAGTTCACGAAAGCCACTTGTCAAGGGAGTTCCAGATTGGCTAGCCTCGCTGAGAGGCAGAGTTGGAGACAGTGGTTGGGAAACGTAGATTTTTAGTCTTTAACTGCATTTGGCGTTCAAAAAATATTTGAGCACCTGTCGTGGGCCAGGTTTTGTTCTCGGCGCGGGAGATGGTGGTGAACAAGATTAAGTCCCTGCAGTCTTTGAATTTTACCTTCTATTTGGGAAGGAGGGCAGACAATTAAGTACATAGAGATATTTTATAAACAAACAAAAAAAACCCCACAGATAATATACTCAATGCAAATAATTAAAATCAGTTGGTAGACTAATGACAGTGTCAGGGATGAGTTAAGTCCACATGTGGAACTAACCTCAGGAGGAGCAGAGGGAACAGCAGTTCAGGAAGAGGAGACAACAATGCACAGGCCCAACGTTGGCATCACTCTTGGCTGTGAAAGAAAGGGCTAGAGGCCAGTGTACCTAGAGCACAGCACAGGGAGTTGAGAAGATGGCTAGGTAATGATGTAGAAGTGAGAAGGGGCCAGATCATATAGAGCCTTATAAGGGATGATAAGCAGTTGGGATATTCTAGGTCTTAACAGAAAGCCATAGGAGGGATTTTACTAGGGGAATGACAATCTGATTTATGATTTAAAGGAATTACTCTATTATGGAGAGGATGGTTGTAGAGGGCATGAGTGGAAGCAGTTCAAAAGTGATAAAGTAATTCAGTTCAAACATGAGGGGAGCTAGAGATAGGGTCATGGGATATGTTTTGGAGGTAGAAGTGACAAGGTTTGGTGGTAGATTGGCTGTGGGATGTGAGGCAAAAGGATTTCAGGATAACTCCTACATGAAACATGAGAGTTCCTTTGGAATTCCAAGAAAACGTTTTTTACTTTATATTCACAGTAAAGATTCATTACATGTAGATTTTAGTAGTCATTTGGGGATTTTTTTTTTCCAGTAAAAATATGTTGGTCATTTTCTGTGTGCCAGGTCTAGTGTTAGTGGGTAGGGATACATTGTAAACACCACCCTGATTGACACAGAGCTTGCATGATAGGAGGGGAAACATTAAATAATTGGACAAATTATTTGTATTAGAATTGGGTAAGTAGTACAAAGGAAAAAGGAGTGAAGAAGATGGGAGACTTTCCTGACCAAATGATGATAATCTAATACTGAAAGGTTATATAAGATTTAGTCAGAGAAACAAGAAGATTTTATTTCAGATGCATTCCAGGTTTATGTTTCCAGATAACCATATAAAAGGCTTTAGGGAAGAAGTAGGAAGAAGAAACAGCCCAGTGTGGCTGGTAAATAGTTGGCAGTAATGGGTATACACTGGTTTACCATCCATCACTGGATATTGTGAAGATAAGCCAATGGACTTTGTGACCCTGCCACACTCCAGGGTCCACTCCACTGGGCGGTGGGGGGAGAGCATAATGTATTGGGTAGGTAGAAGCCAAAGATGCTGCTAAAATCCTACAAGGCAGAAAACGACCTCCCACCGCAAAGAATTGTCCAGCCAAGGTTGAGAAGTTTTGGTACAAATGAGGTATAACTTTGGGGCACCTGGGTGGCTCAGTCGGTTGAGCGTCCGACTTTGGCTCAGGTCATGATCTCGCAGTCTGTGAGTTCGAGCCCCGCATCGGGCTCTGTGCTGACAGCTCGGAGCCCAGAGCCTGTTTCAGATTCTGTGTCTTCCTCTCTCTCTGACCCTCCCCTGTTCATGCTCTGTCTCTCTGTCTCAAAAATAAAGAAACATTAAAAAAAAATTAAAGAAAAACAACAAACAAATGAGGTATAACTTTAATGTGCCATTGTAGATTGTTGGCAATTAAAGGATCAAATTAAGGATTATGTTTACAAAATCGTAGTAAATAGCAGGTGTTTGATGATTATTCTCTTCCCACCCATGTCCATGGAGATTTAGAACCCTTTGAGCTGTGGCTAATTAATAATCAGGATTGATCACCTGAATTTACTGAACTCTTGTCTGACCGATTTTAAGCTGGTAGTTCACATTATCAGGGTTCTATGTGGTTCCTGTGTTTGTTCTCTACATGAGTGATCAAAACTGGTGGGACCTCTGTTGAATCTGACCTGCAGACATATTTTGTTTGGTATGCACAGTGTTTGGTTAAAATTAAATGTACCAGTTAAGTGGGAGATTTAAAAGTCCACACTTCTGGCTTCTCTTGAAAAACTAAGATCTGGTAGCACTGGCTCTGAATTTTCACATGGCAGAAAAACACCCTATTGGTTGTGCTCCATTTACTCTGGGCCTGATCTCTGGGTTTGACAATCACCACTTCTCTTACTGAATTACACCCAGACTGCTCTGAATTACACCACTCATTTGTGGTGCTTATGTTCACCATTCCTTCCCTTTTATTAATAGGGGTGATTTGAAGTTCTTTGTGTAGCACAAATCTTGATACAGCTTCTTTTGTTGGAGTGGTATTGAGTTCAAGGTAAGGCTGCTTTAGACTTAGTCCCAAATTTTGTCAGAAAGCTTCCCCCAATTGACTCTTAAGACATAACTGTGAATGGTTTTCCTGGAGTTGGGTCTGGTGTACTGGTCAGAGTGCATTCATTCAGCAGAGAAAATGACAATGTAAATCCTGACTTCATTAAGGCCGAAGTGGTTTAACACCTGATGTACTTCTTCTTTAGTAGGACCTGGAGAATAAGCAAACAATGGGAATGACACTTTGAAAAACAGAACCTGGTATTAAGTTTGAGTTTATTGGGAGATAATGTTGAGAGGAAAACTTTTAGATTTATTGGTATAAATTTAGTCTGTTATATCACAAATAGCTGCATGTATAAATCCAATTAGAGTTATGTGGAAACATGCTGCACATTGTTATTTCTAGTGAAAACATTGACCTGAGGACCATCAGAGAGGAAGATATTCTGTTTGAAGATCTGCAGAAGAATGTGCCTGAGAAGATGGGTGGAGGTGATATGGAAGAGAAGGAGGAGGAGGAGGAAGAGGAGGAGGAGTATGATGAAGACGACTGGGATTGGGATGATGGAGTTGGAAAACTCACCAAAGGTTGTATCTCAAATGCAAGGAGTAACCCACAGGTATTTTACAAATGATTGTATACATCTTTATGTTATTTATGTCTTCTTTTTTCAAAGGACTTTTTGTTATTCTGGACTTGAATTGGAAGATTTCCCTCAGGTTATGTTGCCCTGTAGCCCCAACCTTTAACGAGTTTTATTCTTCATCCTTTTTGTATTTCTGATCATTTCCTGGATGTAGGTTCTTTTCATAGTACATTTTAAAAACTATTTAAATTATGGTAAGATTAGGAGCTTTAAAGTCTGCATGGGAAAAGATGCAAATAGGCAGTTCACTACAAATGGTTAGGAAACATGGAGAGAAAGTTCCGCTTCCTTAGTAATTAAAAAATGCAGGTTAAATATGTAGAAATGCTGTTTTTTCACTTATGAAACTGACCAAGATGCAAAATCTATAATTGCTGATTGAGTAAAGAACTACTTATTTAGAGGATAAACTGGTATGTGATAAAAGCTTTTAAAACATAAAATAAATGCTTTGATTCAGCAATTCTTTTAAGATTGTGCCAAGAATGGTGTTATGAGAATGATTCTCCAGTATTGTTTATAGAGAAACACTGGAAACAAGCTTGACTAAATTTGTTGTGGGACTGATTTCACACAATGGGATATTATGCAGCCATAAAATACATTGCAGTGGAAAACTATATTAATGACATGAATCTGCCATCACCTACTGTGTACCGGGCACAAGTTATCAGACTGTAGAGCCTGCTTCTCAACTGGAAGTACTCTGTTTCAGGATTTTGCAGAGCCTTAGGATTAACATGGTACATCTTACTAGAGCATAAAGATTTCTGAAAGAGATGGAGGGGGAAAAAACCAACAGTATTTCTTTGAATATTAAGATTGCTATATTGTGGATAAGAATGAATGCATTTTAAAAATAACCAGATGAATTTCACACTTGTCTGTTTTGGTGAGACGTTGAGCTATTTTAATATAGAGTTTATTCTCTTTTAATAAAGATAGAAAAAAAGGCAAGTATATATGCTTAAATGTTAACTATTATCTTTGGGTGCTGGGATTGTAGGTGATTAAAATTTTACCTGTGTTTTCTACTGTGAATCTCTACTTAGAAATGTTTTTAAAGTTGTATCTGGTAGAAAACTTTAAATAGGTCTGTACAGACAGCATAGGTCTATGCAGTCAGCCTCACACTTGCAAGCAGAGATACGCGGAGTAAATCAGTCATTGTTATGAGCCCTTTTTATCTGTACTATACTCCCTTTGAATAAGGGTTCTTTCTTTTTGTTATTATTTTAGTTTGTGTATAGTGCCAGTGTAAGTGGTAAACCTCATGCCTGATCTTTCCCTTTC